TCTCACATCCTGACCTGAAGTCTCGTGACTAACATTTCCACCTCCGTAGATCCCCATGGTCGCCCCCTTCTTCGGCACCCTCTTCGGCGGCTTCTTGTACGACGTCTTCATCTTCACCGGGGAGAGCCCCATCAACACGCCCTACTTTGGCCTCACCCGACTCTTCCGCCCGCGCCGGGACGTCTGGTCCAACACCTACAAGAACCGCTTGGAGAAGGTGTAGACAGCGTCCTCGCTTCACGTTGTGTCCGATTTGTGCGTTTTTGATGATGAGAAAGTGAGAAAGAGAGATGTTGTTTTCATATTGATGAGTGATGAGATTGACACAGGGATCTTATTGTATGGGACAATCATCCATGATGACGACCTCCACAACGATCTCTTATGAGTGTGTGAGAGTGAGAAAGGCAAAGAAACTGGCAGACAATGATACCACGGGTTTCGGATAACGAGAGAAGAGAGAGAGAGATGAGAGACTGGGACGGGCGACCGACTCGAAGGTCCCCCCTTGCCTTCAACAAGACAACCTCTTGACTTGGTACAAGTCGAGGGAAAACAGAAGGGAAGAACAAAAAGAAACACAAAAAAGATGGGTCGGTCTTACGGTCCAAACACCCCAAAAAGCGAACACGGCGAAGAGCGAAAATCGTATATCATGAGCTTGTTTGCAGCTGTATTCCGTCGTTCCTGTTTCTTGTTTTGTTTTGCCTGCTGTCTGTCCTGTTGGGTGCTGAGGTGCTGGTGCTGTTGCTTGGTTATTGGCGTGGGTTGGATTAGCGGTGTCTTGTCTTCAAATCACAAAGTCATTTTTCAAAGTTCAAAGAATGCTTCTCCCTGGTGACTACGCAATGAACGAGAGAAAAGAGTGCCATCAAGAAGCAAGAACAACTCTCTTTCTCAACTACGATGTGCGCCCATGGCCAGCAATTAGTATGTTCGTGAACGAGACCCTTGGAGACGAGAAAAAAAGCCACCTTCGCTGGAAGATTGGCACGATTGCCCCGAGGGCGGGCCAGGTGAACAATTCTTCCGTCAAGTCGGGGGTTTTTGCTCAGAGACATGGACCCAAATTACGGGGGGGCCTGCCGCCAACTTGGCTAGCGGGAAGGGACCTGCCCACGCCGCTGGGAACTGGAATCGCTTCCGAATCCCAGTGCATCAAAAGCTGAACCACCACCAAGTCCAAAAGAATCCAGACCAACGAAATGCTCGCACTTTGCATGCAACCCATGATGGCGTGGGCTTGCATCTTGTTGGGGAGACTGGGGGTCCCGCCTCTGACCTCTCAGAGGCCTCAAAGGTTGAGATTGACCCTGACAGCGACCCCGAATGTCTGGGTCCGCGGTTGCACATTCTCTTTTGGAATGTCTAGAATCCAATGGTCTCGTGGACTAGGGTAGCAATTGCAGTATCGAGACCGACTGGAGTCCCAGTCATGGTCCATCTCGACCCCAGCTTGGGGAAATGGGTGGTCCCCATGGGCATCTTGCACCCGCTCCGTCTGTAGCCGAATCTTGACCTTTGTTGCTCACCTTCCTGGCCAGGAGACGGGGAGACAAGCAGAGGGATAGTAGTCAGCAACCTACTATGCAAGCTTAGGTATTACGTTGCCCATGCTTCCATGGCGCAACCAGCTCGCCAGTGCCTAGTAATCCTCTTTCAGCCAACAAGAGGGTGCATTATGAGGACTTCGGATGGTCCATTGTGTGTTGTTCAAGTTTCTTGTGGCAACTAGCCATTCGCAAGAACTGTGTGCTTAGCTTACGTTGAAGATGGGCAAAGTTGGGGCCAGTGGTCTGTTGTCGCCTGAACTACCGTCCATGTCAAGGCGGGAGTGGGTGCGGATTGGACGGAGTGGCGACGGGAGGCGATGTCAAGAAGTGGTCGCATGGTGAGGATCTCGGATGACTGTCTTGTCTGGATGGCCCGGATGCCCAATCACCGGTATGAGTTTCCCGTCTGCTGAGCTGTAGCAAAGTTGTGATGCGAGGCGGAGCAGTGCGCAACGGACGTTGCGTGTAAGTGCGTCTGACAACAGCCCGTACTGTCCCCGTTGCGTATAGTGACTTTGAGATCGTGCTTGCGTCGATGAGAGGCCGATGGCTTCCAAACTCTGAGCGAAGCTGACTCGTAATACAGCTGTCTCCGATCGATGGCCCTTATTCAGTGGCCCGGCGAACGTTGCCCGTCGCGAGATAAGGTTGTGTCTGGCTGGTGCTTCGTCTGGAAGCGCGGGGTAGAAACAGCCAAGAGCTAGTGGACGTGCAGGAAACGTCGCTGTCAAGTTGCACCCTGGGACCTGGTCCATCTTACTTAGATTGGTTGGAGGGTGTGGTAGCGCGAGTCGACGAACTCTGGGTGCGATACTTGTCGTAGTGCTAAGATTGGTACTCTGGCACGTCTCGCTGCGAACGTGCCGTGGGGCGCAGCTGCAACCTGCGAGTTTCAAAACCTAGACGCAAATCAAGGTCATCAAACGAGGACATGGTAAAGGGTTGACCTGCGTTTGGGTGTAAGTCAACGAGGTGTGAAGGACTATTTCGAGCTGGGTTGAGTGGCTGTCGTAGACAGGGACCTGGTACCCAGCACTCAGGCCAAAGCTAGCCCAGTGCATCATCTGGCACCGCAGCAAGACAACTGACTGTATCGTGACCATTTCCATGGGTAGGGGAGCCGAGTTGTGAACTGGTTGTGGATTGGCAGCATTTCAATCCGTGTGCCACCTCAACTTTCTTCCTCCCATTTTTTCGCACGCGAGTTGCAAGGGGCGGCGCGGGATGTTCGGCGTGGCATTGCGGCGTGGCCGTCACGGCCGAGGGATGTGCAGCGAAGAAACTTGGTAGCGGCCACGGAGGAGTGGACGGCGGGCGTGTACCCTACGGCGTGCGGGTGCGGTGCGGGTGCAACAACGGTGTCCCTACCGCAGTCGTAACGCAGGAGGGGTTCGTGTCCGGACACTCCCCAAGTACCCATACAAGAGTAAGTCGAGGTACATGGCACAGAGGTAGAGTGACTTGTCAGTCAAGCTCGGACGTCGGCCGCTGCATTGCGTAGGGGATATTGCGCGTGATCGATGATGGTAAAGAGTTGCGGAAATAGCTGGGTCTGGAGGGAAGAGTCGGCAGACTGAAGGCAGGTTTTGATGGCTTGGATAGCTTGGCGAGTGGTGGCAGTATATCGTGTCGGGTGTAAGCGATGCCATGGTGGGTGGGCTAGTCGATGATATGTAGGTAAAATAGGGAACGAAGACAGGCTCGACTGTACGGCGTTTGTTGGCTGTGAATCCCGATAACTCGGTCACCAAAATGGCGCGGCGTCTGTGTGATGCAGCGTCCCGTGGCCGGGAACCAAAAACGGTCCGCAGTACTATCTATGGATGGATAGAAGAGGACGGCATCTGGTTCTTAAGATGAACCAGAAATCCGCCCTGGAAGAAATTGTTTGGCTGGTTGATGCCCCTTGGGCTGTTGGGCAAGCCTCACAATCGGGCCTCAAGTTGAGAAGTGAGGCGAGATCCATAGTAATCAGGCCCCTGTATAAGGGCCGACATGTGAGGATTGCAAAAGATAAGGGTAGTTAGCGGCAGTATGGCGTGGCGCTGTGTGGGCAAACATCCCACGATGGACACTGATGGAGACGTTGGGAGGAGTCGACGAGGAGAAATCAGTCGCGGGCCATTCGCCGGGCCGATTGGTGGTCGCCGTGTAGTCGCCGTTTGGCAGTGGTGATTGTTAATACTGGGTGACTGGGTGAGGGAGGGGAGGGCATCCGCAGGGCATCTGCAATGCGTGTCTCGAGATCCAGCAGGCGAGTGACTGTGCCTTGCTGCTGATTCTGCAGTGAGCGTGATTGGATTGGACTGCTGCCCAGTGGTATTGGACGGTGGTGGTGGTGGAGGTGGTCTAGGTCTGCGGTGTGTGGATGTGGTGACGGGAATGCAACACCGAAGACGAGCGAGAGTCGAGGCCGCAGTGTCGCCGTCTGGCACTGCCAAAGTGGAGACTGGCGGTGGTGGTGGTGGTGGGAAAAGGCGAAAAGAGGAGAAGGCACGTGTGGCACGGGAAAAGAGGGTCAGGGCTGGAAGCAGGGGCTAAAGTGGAAAAGGACGTACTTCTTCGGCCGGAGGATTCCGCCGATCATTGCGAACCTCAAGGACCAGTGGAGCCTTCCTTCCAGCTGATGGAAGTGTGGGAAGGTCTCCAAATCTGTGACCCCACCTGCACTTTCAAGTTCTTAGCGGGACCCTTCCTTCCTTTCTGTGGGAACCTGGGCCGCACCTTCTCCAATTCTTCTTCAGTGGTCGGCGATGTCAACCGAGACCACCGAGACAGGGGTACAATGCTCCATGTATCATCAGCACCGAGAGAATACCGAAAACATGTCACCATCTCGGCCAGTCAACACCGAGGTGCAGACGGACCCCTGATGGCATATTTGAGGCTCTGACTGGAAACACCATACAATTACGGATCCATCTACGCATACGGATGGGATGGCACCGGCGTCTCTTTCCCACCTCCAGATTTGCGTGCCTTTTCCCCATTCATTTCTCCATACTGGATCCTGCGCCGTTACCGACATGACGAACAAGAAGCGGGTCTTTTCCCGTCTCCCACTCACTTTGGTTCACTGCATGTCCTGACTCTGCCAGTGTTGGGATGCTGTTTCTGCTTGCTAATTGCTAGCTCGGAGTGAGCTCGGTGCCCATGATGTCAGACCCCGACTCGAGTGCATTACTGCTGCTTCCGGAGACCGTTTGCCCTTCACCACTGACACTGCCACCGTTCACCACAATGTATCTACTATGTAGGTGTAGCTGATGAAGCTGCGATAGATGAGTGAAGTGGCATAAGGTAGCACAAGGTAGAAAACACAGGTAGGGTGGTCAGGACAGACAAGGTATCAGCAAAAGTCTCAAGATGAGAGCCGTGCTGCCATACCGCAGACGCGCCTGCGACCACGTGGGGGTTAAGGTCCAATTGGCAATGGCGAGCGATACCTTACGAATACCAAGCAAAAGCTGTGTCTGAGCTGGCATCCATCCCCATTGCTTTGTCCGTGTGTTCCATCCATCGCTACCGGCCAAAGCTGCATGTCTCTCTCTCTCTCTCCGTCTGACCCCCCGTCCGTCCATCCATCCCCCGATCTCCGTCATCACAAGGTATCTTCGTACCCCCCTCCACCCCCGATCTACTTTTAGCCTCTTTTTGCTGGGCTCAAGTTTCGTTATTTTTTATTTTCCTCACATCAGGTCGCCCTCTCTCTCTCTCTGTCTCTCTTACTCTCGCCCATCTCTGATACCCACCTCCCCTGCTCTTCCGTTCTGCCCAGTCAGTCCAACGGAAGATTTTTGCTCGCGCCAAACGGGACCATTCCTTCTCGAGCTCGGGGTGTCATTCCACGAATAACAGTCCATAGTTCGCGGGTGAGGCGGCCCAGCCCGGACAAGGACAGCTTCCTGCTTTTCTGCCACCCGGAATCTACCCACTCACTTGGGTCATCTACCGATCGACAATCCTCGACCCCTTCGGTCCCTCTTAAGCCCTTGAGCTTTTCTTCCTCTTCCTACCTCTCCTGTTCTTACTTCTCTTCCCCTACCTTCACCTTCCTGATTCTTCCCAGGATCATCAACCAGTGAACCCCTCACCCTCCTAACACATCACATTACCATTGAGGGAAAGCATTCACCAAAAGGGCATCCCACACCCTACCCGCCCGGACTGGTCACCTATACCAGACGCGCCTCCTACCGTCATCGTCCCGTCCTTCTCGGACTCGGTCTAAACCTCACCGAGTAGAGAAATCACAAGAAAACACACACAAGAAACACACACAAGAAACACCCGCCAGCATGGCGTCTCGTTTCTCAAGCCTGAGAAGGCCCGTCGCCATCGCTGCCGCCGCGGCAACTGGTGGTGTCGTCGCCTACTCAACCTTCCTCAGTGGCCGCGGCGCTCACAACTTCGACAAGGCCCTCGTCGAGCTCAAGCGCGATGACCAGGGCAAGATTGTCCCGCCTTCATTCCCCGCGACAAAGGACCGCGCCTCACAGCTGGCCGACCTGCGCGCTCACAACTCCGATGCCCAAGAGTACGATCTCCTTGTCGTCGGCGGCGGCGCCACGGGAACCGGCATCGCTCTCGACGCCGTCACCCGCGGCCTCAAGGTCGCCCTCGTCGAGCGCGACGACTTCTCTGCTGGAACCTCGTCTAAGAGCACCAAGCTCGTTCACGGCGGTGTCCGCTACCTCGAAAAGGCCGTCTGGAACCTCGACTACTCACAGCTTGAGCTCGTCATGGAGGCTCTTCACGAGCGCAAGACCTTCCTCAACGTCGCCCCGCACCTGTCCTCTTCTCTGCCTATTCTCCTGCCCATCCAGAAGTGGTGGCAGACTCCTTACTTCTGGGCCGGCACAAAGGCCTACGATCTCCTCGCCGGTTCCCAGGGTCTCGAGAGCTCCTACTACGTCTCCACCAAGAAGGCCATGGAGGCCTTCCCCAAGCTCAGAAAGGATAACATGGTCGGCGCTCTCGTCTACTATGACGGCCAGCACAACGACTCCCGCATGAACGTCTCTCTCGCCCTCACCGCCGCCTTCTACGGCGCCACCGTCCTCAACCACGTCGAAGTCACCTCTCTGGAAAAGAACTCCTCCACCGGCAAGATCACTGGCGCGCAAGTCCGCGATGTCAAGAACCCCGGCAGCCCCCCCTTTACCGTCCGCGCCAAGGGCGTCATCAACGCTACTGGCCCCTTTGCCGACGCAATCGAGTGCATGGACAACCCGGACCGCAAGCCCATCGTCGCCCCGGCCTCTGGTGCGCACATTATGCTGCCCGGCGACATTTGCCCCAACGGAATCGGTCTCTTGGATGCTGCTACCTCTGACGGTCGTGTCATTTTTGTTCTGCCCTGGCAAGGATACACTCTGGCTGGAACCACGGATAACGCTGCCCCCGTCGAGCGCGAGCCCATTGCCCGCGAGGACGACATCAAGTTCATTCTCAAGGAGGTCAACAAGCTGATTACCCCCGAGTCCGCCCTGTCCCGTGCCGACGTTCTCTCTGCCTGGTCTGGTAAGTTTTCCTCTCATTCAATCCCCCTCCCTCCGATATCGCTCTCAGGCCAGGGCCAAGAAACTAACATCTCATGCTAGGAATCCGCCCCCTGGTCAAGGACCCCAACGCAAAGAACACCGAATCCCTCGTCCGCTCCCACCTCGTCACCGTCTCCTCCTCCGGCCTCCTCACCTGCGCCGGCGGCAAGTGGACAACCTACCGCCAAATGGCCGAAGACGCCGTCGACGAAGCCATCAAGACCTTCAACCTCGCCCCCAAGCCCGTCTCCCTCCCCGACATCTCCGGCGCAGGCCTCGCGCCCTTCACCACGACCGGCGCCTGCATCACCACCAAGATCCCCCTCGTCGGCGCCCACGGCTTCTCAAAGCACCTCCCCGGCCACCTCATTAACCACTTCGCCCTCGACGCCGACGTCGCCCACCACCTCGCCCACAACTACGGCGACCGCGCCTGGTCCGTCGCCACCACCCCCGCCGACCGCCAGCGCATCATCCCCAACTTCCCCTTCGTCGAGGGCGAGATCCGCCACGGCGTCCGCGCCGAGGCCGCCCTCACGGCAACGGACCTCATCTCCCGCCGTACCCGCCTCGCCTTCCTCGACGCCGAGTCCGCGCTCCGTGCCCTGCCGCGCGTGATCGACGTCATGGCCGAGGAGCTCGGCTGGGACGCCAAGCGCAAGGACCAAGAGTGGACCGAGACGGTGCACTTCCTCCGCTCCATGGGCCTGTCCCCCGAGAAGTTCGGCGTCACCCGCGACGAGGTTCTCCGCAGCGGCACCGCCACGTCAGCGTACGCGCCCAAGTCGCAGATCGCGGCCTCGGCTAGCGGGATCAAGTTTGCGCCCAACGAGATCCAGGCCGGCGGTGCCCTGGCGAGAAATATCACCGAGGCATAGAGCAGTCCCTCTTCATCAAGGATGACTGTTTCTCTTGTCTTACTATTTCCTTGTGTATTTGACGATACGTGTGTAAGGGAGACGAAGAGGAGTGAGAGCGAGAGCATTTTGGCCCGCAAAAAAGTTGAAACCCAACTGGAGCCGATGAATAGCTACGCTCCGTTGCGTGTGTGTTGATTGAAATCCTTTTTTTTTACTTGGATTTCCGAAACGAAAACCCTGGGATACCTAGATAGAACGGGGGTATTGGCGTACTTTTGGGGGCAAAGGGAGGGATTGGGCATTTTGAGAGCAGCACCGACTGTGTGTACGATTCTTCTCATCTGTGTTTCCATCCAACCTTTTTTTCTGGGTTTTTTCATTTTCCTTTTTTTACCTAGTTCATTAGTAGCATATGGCATCAAACGCTGGTGCAAAGTTCCTCCTCCCAGAAAGGAGTTGGACTTGAGTGCGTTTACACAAATTACCCGCATAGATGGCTTTGGCCATTGAATATCAAGATATCATTACATGCTAATTGCTCTCGTTTGCCTTATTTTGACCGAGTGAGATGATGCTTCACAGGTGCTTGTCTAAAACCATTACGCCTTTCACTATCTTGACCTTGTATCGCCAGACTTCCTTCACAGCTCTGTGGACCACTGATTCAGGTCCGTATGTGACGAGTCATTATCGACTCCATGAAACCAACGAGTGACATCGCATCCCCCCAAAAAAGACGTCATCGGCGTGACTCGTGCAAAAGCAAGCCCATTCAACCACCACTCCCATCTCATCGATCCTTCTTCTCCGGAGGCAAGACGCGCCACTGGTCCGTAATCTTCAACCCGAACCCCTCGGCGATATCGCACCCGCCGCGTCCCCACTTCAGCTCAAAGACCCGGCGCCCGGCAGCGACGAGCACCTCAAAGGCCTCTGCGAACCCAGCGGCATCGTAGTAATACGGCTCGCCCTCGCCGCCGTGCTGGCTTTTTTGCCACGAGTTGCGGTTGTGGTCGCTGTCTCTGTACTTGTAATTTGTCATTTCGAGGCCCGTCTGGACCACGGCGCGGAAGTACTCCGCCTCGTTGACGACAGTGGCATTCGTAGTCGCCGCGGGGTCGTCGTCTCGCTTGTCGCCCTTCTGCTCGTCCTCGGGCTTCTTCTCGGCTGGCGGCGGGGGCGGAGGCGGGGGCGGGGGATTTGGGTCAACCATCTTCGGGATGGTTCCCGGAATCCGGTATAAAGCAGAGAGGTCCTCGAGGTGCGTCGAGATGTCGTTGATGATACCCGCCCGTCGGTGTTTCATCGTCCAGCCATCCATGGCCAGGCGCGCGTTCATGTCGCAGTCGGTCGCGTAGTACGGAATCAGCGAGTCCCATCCGCCAATGGCGTCCATCGCGGCGCGGTTCACCAGTGTTAGGTGGTCGTATTGATACCAGCGGAACCCCCACTTCTCTTTCCGCTTCAGCGTGGTATCGAGATCGCGCAGGCAGTTCTCGTATATTGTGCGGTACCCCTGCTGTCCTGCCGCAGGCGGGTTCATGATCTCATTTTGCTCCTCCTCGTCGTAGAATTCCCATGTTCGGTCGCCGGGCCGGTGGGTGTCGTCCTTGCCGTCCTCAAAGGAGAAGACGAGAACGTCCTGGTGAGAGTAAAAGTAGTATGGCCAGTTGTTCTTGTGCGCCTCGTGCAGGAACATGTTCTGCATCTGCGAAAAGGAGAGCAGGGCAGGTGCCTGAATGACGTTGACTCCTAACCGCTTGAGCGTCGTGTGGTTCAGGTAGAACTGATTCTGGAGGGAGAGTTTGCCCTGAGCGTTGGCGAACTGAACACCCGTGTTCTCGAGGACGTGGATGCTAGAGGCCGGCCAGCCTGCTGTGATGTAGCTAACGACGCATTGGAGAAGGATGGGCCACTGGCGGGTAAAGCCGATGAATAGCGGCGGCTGCGCATCAAGACCGTAGTCTTTATGTAGGTCATCGCGGGGAACGTTATGCGCGGGGATCGAGGGGGGCGGCGAGTCGGTGTTGGCGAGGAGGGGGAAGGGGTCGATTACCGGGGGCGAGGTATAGGTCGGCACTGGCTTGTAGACTGGGGTCTCGGAGGAGAGCGACTGCTTGTTATCCTTGCCACTCGAAGATGGCGGCGTTGTCTTCGTGTGCTTCGCGAGGCTATACAGTGAATCGAGATTTATAATGCTTTCATGGAAGCGAACAAGAACGAGGAGTAGGGCGAAGAGAGCAGCTAGGGGGAGTATCGTCCGCAAACGAGAATTGATAGCGATCATCTTCAGATTCGGCGAGCTGTGAATCAGCGCATCGCAGGCGGAAGGAGGAGAGGAATGTAGTCGAGCTCGGCGACGATGGCAAGGCTCGTGGAAGACGACGACGGCATTGTGAGGGAGGGAGAAGGAAGCTGCTGCGCCGCAGGGCAGGCGGGAGTCGATGAGATTAAGTTGGGGATCATGGTTGTGTGAGGCGACACCTGTGCCGCGCGTGTGTGACGAATGGGAAGGTACGTTCCTTCAGCCGCGTTGCGTTTCTCTTGCTGGAAGGAAAGAAATGCCTGAAGAATGCCTGGAATGGGCGACGATTCTCAGACACGCAAGTCGCAACAGGGGAAAGTGCCATGCAGCTTCCTTGCTTGTTTGGTTCGGAAGGTGGGTGAGTGTGGACTGCTGAGGTGTGTGTGTGAAAGGTGCAACTTTTTTTGGGCCCTGCTATTCGTGTACAAAGTGGAAGGACGTTCCAGAGCTGGGAGATTGGGGACTGTAGCCTGCCGCGCTAATGCTCCAAAAAGCTTAGCTGACACGGGACGAATGTGCCTCTTTCCGCCCAGATTGTTAGTCTCAGTTGGACGATTGACCAATTAGACCAGGGTTGCTTTTCGTAGTCGGAATACGGCAGCTTGAGTGGAGGCCGAATCCTTGACGTTACATGCAACTTACCATCAAACAACACTCCGAGTAACTCGGATATTACGTAGGTAGGTAGATATGAGTGTACGAACTCTGCAGTTCAGTTCGTAGCTGCCTAGAAATTTTGTGAATCGTCTTGGCATCGAGAAAGTTATAAGGCGCAAGGATTCGGTACGGTTACTAAATCTGCCCGATGTTTTACCACCACATTAAAACTGGCTTGATGTGATTGACATTGACGTCGTGGCATTACCTTTGTATTCCAAGCGGATATTCGTATCTATTGATTATAAGAAAAGATGCTGTGTGTAGTATCAAGTGTTGGAAGGGACCCGTCATTCAATTCTCAGCTATCTTATCCACCTGTTTCTTCTACTTCTTCTTCTTCCTCTCCTTAGGTCTTGAGAGAGGTTGACCGGTCAGCAGAACAGCTATATGGCAGTCACACAAATGCAAGGTCATTCGGTCAGGGATACGCTCCATGCTTAGCCACGTTACATCTACCCAAGCACTACTTATCACGTACACGGTGCGCGACATAAGCGACAACTGCGTGCGCAACTTCCAGGAAGAACTTATGGCGGCGTTAGCCAGAAAGGTTGACCATATAGATCAGCCACAAACGTCGACGGCGGCCGCAGAGGGACTCATTCATCCTCAACATAAGAAGGCTCTATAGGAGCCAGCAGCATTTCACCTGCCACGGACCACCAGTCGAAATGCCTGATCGGTAGATTACCAGTGAAGTTTCCTGAGGTAATCATGCGACAGCATTTCGATTCGGGGTGGTCACTGGTCACCTTTTTTTCGTCTTTTTCCTCTATTTTGTATTCTTAGCCTCAGATATCTCCCTACTATCTTCACATTCCATGAAGCATTAAACTCTCATCACTGAACAACTTCTATCCCCAGTCTTCAACACGAGATCTCAACAGACGCATGCAAGACGGAATGGCAGTCAAGGTCGCCATCGGGAAGGGTAAAGTGGCTACCACCGCAGTTTGACCCGCTGAACGTCTTGATCGTACAATCCCTGGACAAGGTCAAACACTGTTCAAGTTGGTAGTATTCAACAGACATACCTCTTCTGAAGGACTTTGATGGATCGCTTGTTGGTGACGGGTATGCATCGGTACGCACCGCTGCCAGTCACCTCAAAGGTGCTTTGGTCTGAGTTGCAGAGATCGTCGCTGAAGGAGACCACCTTGGCCCAGCCGTCTCTGACTTCGAGATCCACCGGGTTGGCGATGACTGAAATGGCGAGGGAGGTGATCAAGGTGAGACCGAGGCAGTGCATCGTGAACTTCTAGCAACGTAGGGACCTAGTCTTGAGTGTGTAACGCAGATAAACAGTTTCGAGGAGTAAGGGATCTCAAGTGCGATTAAGAGTAGATGCAAATGGAGTCGAGTGGATAGAGAGGGGCCGGAGCTGTCTACTTGTAGTCATGAAGATGCCAGCGAGGAAGAGACATGGACCGCTAGCACAACAAGAATAGACATCATTATGTTAAACAGCGCCTTGTAAGCCATCTTATTCGGACGAATTGATGAGCGCATAGCCACACATAGGTGGTTCTACGAGCCCATCACGCAGAGGATTTGGCTGACGCTGGCGTCAATTGTTATCCAAGCATTAGAGGGACCCATGCATTATACCATCTTTCCCGTCCTCGAGTGATCCTTCGCGTGGATGCCGTGGTCTCTGATACATTCATACGACTTGAACTTGGTACACACAGCAACTGCAGAGGGTTTTGTGACACTTTGCTCTCGAGTTGAACTTGGATTGGCTCAGCTGGTGGCACTGTGTCATGACCCACGCAAGGCAGCATGTCCAGTGAAGGCATTTAAATCCAGGGATACAGCACTAAAAGGGGTTCATGAATTGTAAACCATCCAATGCTATGGTATCTGCGGCTGTGATAGGAGGCTGACATCCGAAATTCGGATCTAGGGCCCGGAGAGTTTGTAGCGACGTAGTCTGCCTCAGGTGCCTTGTCATCAGGGGGAAGCATCCCTCTATGGATTCGAGTTTTCGTACATTCAAGACCGAGTAATCCCAATAAAGAGCATCATCCTACTCTCTGCACGAAAGAGATTGAATTTGGCTGCCTAAAGTCTCTCGTAAACTTGATTATTATTAGAGTCTGCGGGTTTCTATGCATGACAATGAAGGAAGTTGGGGTTAATTGAGCAACCAAGAATCGCGGGGTAAAACTTCCACTGCACCGGAGAATCACCGGCTCGGCTCAGTCAGATTACATAAGAAACATTTACCCCGCCAAAAAGCGCATTGGGCCGGCTCACCCCGCCACAGGGCGTGCAGCACCGAACATCGGGACGGCCGATTACGCCATTCAAACGCTCCAGACGGGAAATGGGTCTCGAGCTGCCGTGAAGCAAATCAGCGTCTTCCAATTTTCGGAGCTTCGTTCTGGAGTACTACGGATAGGTTAATCGAGGAGGCCGACTCACAACCCTCTTCGCCGTGCCGCTCCGACTCCTCTTCTCATCCCATTGCCCTCTTCATGACCTCCCTCGTCCTCCCTCTCTTCCGGTCGCGCATCACCAGCACCAGTACCGCCAGACGAGGTTTCCAGTCCACCGCCATGTCTCTCAGCAGCAAGCTCAAACCCGCGGCTCGCGTCGCCGGCCGGCGACAGGATGTCTGGTGTGTATTGAGATCCCGGTCGTCTTGAGAGACAGAAAAGTATGCGCCAGCGCTACTTCTGACACATCTCTATTGGTCGATGATGGGCAATTGAACGCAATAATGCTGACCATAGGACCAGGTCCATCATCAACGAGGCCGCTGCCGCTTCGCCCAAGCAGCCCATCGTGAACATGGGCCAGGGGTTCTTTGGCTACAACCCTCCCGACTTCATCCTCAACGCCGCCAAGCAAGCGCTGGACCGTGTCGAGTGCAACCAGTACAGCCCTACCAAGGGCCGCCCAAGACTCAAGAAGGCCATTGCGGACGCCTACTCTCCTCACTGGGGCCGCAAGCTGGACCCCGAGACCGAGGTCACCATCACTACTGGAGCAAACGAGGGTAAGATGAGGAGCCCTTCAAGGAGAATGAGATGAACCATAGACAATGGACTGACTGGTAGCCAGGCATGCTGAGTGCTTTCATGGCCTTTATTGAGCCCGGTGACGAAGTCATTGTTTTTGAGCCCTTCTTTGACCAGTAAGCTAGACCATGAGTGCTGCTTATAATACGTCCCAGACATGCTGACACCTTGAAAAGGTACATCAGCAACATTGAGATGCCCGGCGGCAAGATCACCTACGTTCCCCTGCATCCTCCCACAGATGGCGCCACGACGACATCATCCGCCGCCAACTGGACCATCGACTTTGACGAGCTCGAGCGCGCCATCACACCAAAGACCAAGATGATTGTCCTCAACACACCGCGTTCGTTGCCACTTCCCTTACAGCGCCAAGGTACAGGGCGTATTTTGCTGACAATATGACACAGACAACCCCGTCGGCAAGGTCTTCTCCAAGGAGGAGCTTCAGAAGATTGGCGACCTGTGCGTCAAGAACGAGATCATCATTCTCTCCGACGAGGTCTACGACCGCCTGTACTACGTTCCCTTTACGAGAATCGCCACGCTCTCCCCCGAGGTTGAGCGCCTCACCATCACCGTCGGCTCCGCGGGCAAGAACTTCTACGCTACCGGATGGCGTGTCGGCTGGCTCATGGGCCCTGCCGAACTTATCCAGCATGTTTCTGCGGCGCATACTCGTATCTGCTACTCTTCCGTCTCGCCTCTCCAGGAAGCCTGCGCTGTCGGTATGTTCACCCCTGTCTCCCCACCTGTTTTCTTTTCCCCATCAGCCTTGGATCTGAGTGTGACTAACTTCCCATCCAACAGGTTTCGAGCAAGCCGAAAAGGAAGGTTTCTGGGACGAGACGATCAAGGACATGAAGGGCAAGATGGACCGCTTCAACGAGGTGTGGAAGGAGCTCGGCATGCCCTACTCGGAGCCCGAGGGCGGCTACTTCGTCCTCGTCAACATGGCCAAGGTCAAGCTGCCCGAGGACTACCCCTTCCCGCCCCACGTCGCCAGTCGCCCGCGCGACTTCAAGCTCGCGTGGTTCCTCATCCAGGAGGTGGGCGTCGCTGCCATACCGCCGACCGAGTTCTACACGGACGAGAATGCGCACATTGCGGCGGATTACATCCGCTTCGCGGTGTGCAAGGAGGACGAGGTGCTTGAGACGGCCAAGGAGCGTCTTCGTGGGCTGAAGAAGTATATCAAGGAATGAGATGCTGGTGGTCGGCTGTGCTCGTAGAGGGCGCGAGTTGATGTGACGCGAGTATGTACCATGCCTTGTCATAATTTCCCATGTTCTTCTACCTTTATAAAGAGTGAATAGACAAAATCCGAGCCATATAGTTTCTCTCTCAAATACAGTTCCTATCACCCCGCTTGTAGTTGACATAAACATTCTTCTTTGCCTCATTAAGTGTCAAGAAATAGACTGCAAGTGTTCAATGATGATGGTGATGGCGCCGATGGTTAAGCCCACCACCCGTAGAAGCTGCGCAAGCATCCCCGACGCCCCCGAGCGCTCCGCCTTCCTGGCAGACGTTCTCGGGACCGCAGTACGTCACAAAGAGAAGACCCGAGTCACCCGGCACGGGGACGCCTGCCGGCGCGCACCAGAAGACGGACTGATTGACGTGCGCGTCGTCGATAGACTGCCTGCCCGATGTCAGAGCGCCCTCAATCGCCTGATGATTGTTTGTGTCTACGCTTGAGGTTAGAATAGAGGCTTCACGAAGGGTTTATGACAAGAGATGAGAGGATCATAGGAAGGGATACGAACCGAGTTTGAGAAGGCGAGAGCCGCAGTAAGTTTCGGCTTGGGTGCATACTACGGCCAAGGCGGCGCTGATGAGGGTGGAGATGGTGATCTCGATGAGGGCGAGACGAGACATGTTTGCTTTGGCCTCTTTTTCTTTCCTTCTTTTCTTGATGTCGGAGATTATGATTGACGAGTGTTGAATATTTTTTCTGCAAGGTGTCGGTTTGTTTGAGGCTCACGCGCCCGTCGCAACGTTCGTGAAGGGATGGTGGCTTCTCCCTTTCGTATCCCTTTGACACAGGGCGGATGGGACGATGGATACGCCAGGTCAAGCTTCACCTTCAAGCATCACACAATTGAGGAGTCACGCGAGTCAGAAATTATTTGGTTTCGTCAACTGAAGCGACGCGGTCGCAAGGCGTGGGTTTCTCATATGCCCGAGTCGTCACACACACGGAGGGCAAACCGGGGGTTTACGATAGACAACACAGCAATTGAACCAACATCATAAGCGCACCAATCCAAGAAAGCAGCGTGTGAAATGATGCTTGATGTAACTACTGACCTGTGTCTTCAGGTCTCTCAAGCTATCCGAAAACCTATGAGGGTATCACGAGACCTTGTCGTCTCAACCATGATCCAGACCCAAGCGATCCCCATCCCTATTACCTCCGTATCATCCTGTACGCCAGCCCGAGCTTCCAAAAGCCCCCCAGACTGCCATTACTAGAAGGAACCTCAAATGCTAGTAGAAAAGAATCGTAAGGGTCGAAAGTGAAGAGTGAGATATCGCAACGGGGCAAGGACATAGCCGCAAGATGCTTAAATCTCGCCAGTGTTCGCGGCGCCCGACATCTCAACGTCGTCATTGGCAGCCTCATCCTTGACCTCAAGCTTGGCGACATCAGCGGCAGGAGCGTCCTCGGCATCAACAGCCTCCTCGTTCTCGGGAGCCGCCTTCTCTGGAGCAGCAGAAGGAACAGCAGCCTTCTTTGCCTTGGCAGGGGTCTTGCGCTTGGCGGCAGCAGCCTTCTTCTTGGTAGGCGTCTCGGGTTCGGCCTCCTCGTCGGCGTTCTCGTCGCTCTCGGTGGTCTTGGCGGCGGCCTTGGGGGTAGCAGCGGCCTTCTTCTTGGCCGGGGTGGCGCGCTTCTTCTTAGCGGGCGTCTCGACGGCGAGCTTCTCCTCGCCGTCCGAGTTCAGGTTGGCGCTACCGGCAGCGGCGAGCTCGTCGGCGTCGTCAGAGCTAGTGGTAGCAGCGGCAGCGGCGGCCTTTCTCTTGGATGGAGTGGCGGTCTTGCGCTTGGCGGAGCTGCTGCCGGCGCTGTTGCTGGACTGGGCGGGGAGGTCGGAGAAGAGCTTCTTCTTGATGCCGCTCCAGGCGTTAGAGGCGGAGCGAGGGTTGGTCATCTTGCAGGCCGCGGCGAGCTTGGCAAAGTCAACCTAGAAGACAAAAATATTGTTAGCAGTGTCCTATGCGTGAGGTAGATGACGAGGGAGTTAAAGTGAGGGTAGGTCCTACCTCGGGAGCGCTCTTCAAGGAGCTCCAAGCGTGGTGGAGGATCTCGAGCTCGCGTTCGGTAAGGGCGGGCTTGGGGGCAGTAGCAGCCTCGGAGGAAGAGTCGGCGGAAGACATGATGAATGAGTATTGATGAGAGTGTGATGAAGATTGAATAATCTGCAATGAGAGGCGAGAACTTGCAAATAAATATGCAAGAGTGCGAAAGCTGTGATGTGCCGAAGGATGGCAGAGGAGGAGTGTGTGGGTAGAACTATGAATTCTGGAAGAAGAGGAATGAGGTTGATGTAAAAGAATGAAACCTGCAGACCAGCGGGAGAGTGAAGATCCTTTTATGGCAGGACCTGTGGCAGATAGGTTGGAGATGTTGGAAGGTAGTGAGGAGGCGGGAGAAGTCAAAGGCAAGTACGAGAATGAGTTTGAGAGCGGTATGGCAGACAGAGTGAGAGCGGGAATGAGAAAGAAAGTGAGTGAAAATTAAGTAGAAACGAATAAAAGACTCATATGAGTGGGCGAAAATTCTAATCTGAGCGAGAAAGAACGATCGTCCGGCCGTTCTTGACGGCAAGAAGTGAGTGAAAATCACAGAAGACATCGAAGGCAACAGCGAACTGCCGGCAGATTAAGGCAAGTCGACCACGATACTACAACAATATTTCCGTGAACGCCAGCTTGAACTAAATTATTCATCACGGGCCATCATGTTTGGCATTCGAGAGTGCTTTACTGACATTAGGCTTCATTGTGTTTTTCTGCTTCAGTGTTGCAGGCTGCAGCATCACACGAGGCAGGAGGAGAAATTTCAGTCAAGGCCTCAAAGAAATCTCACTCAATCTCTCTGTTGGTCATTCCATGTTTGACTCGAAAGTTCCAATCGACTTTCTTCGTATTCTGTCGTCCCGTCAATTCTTTCTTCGTTCTGAGAACGATACAAGCCTCTCACTCGTGACCCTATGAAGACCCACGAGGCAGGCCGCAACAATCACACATTGACTATCGTCAGGCAAAGCCAACGGACTTGAGAAACTTCACCGGATGAATTTGAAGGCTTGTAGTTTACTTGGATTAGCTACTGCTCACTTGCTGATTCTTGCGATGCTTGTTAGCAACCCCTCCCTCGACCCGAGATAATACGCCGCTACACCTATAAGCCCCGGAACCACAACCCATGTCGCCTTCCTTGCGAATCCAACCGCCCCTTTCCTGATGATTATCTGAAGCTTCTCGTGGTATGCCTCATGATCATTGACATGAGGGAATGGAACATCAGGAATAGGCTTCCCCAAGAAGGCACACAATGGTTCCCATCCGTCTTTTAGGTTATAGTTGAGCAACCGATCAGGGGGTGTCTCTCTTCGAATAGTCGCGTAGTGGTTTCGATACCCATCGCGAGCCTTCTCTAGGACTTCTTTTCTTGTCTCTGCATCAAAGGTGTACTTCAACCACGTGAAGGTGATGTCGTCAATCTCAGCCACATACTTGGCTCGCAGCCACGATAAAAATCGCCAGACGGGGTTGAACGCGACGGTGACGATACTCTCGTCAAAGCTCTTGTACCAGGATTCAATGTCGCGCTCGACGAGGACCACTTTGGACTTAGGGTATGCCGCCACCAGCTCAGGTCCGAAGAAGTTAGCTGGCATATCGCAAACGGCTCCGCAGTGACCAAGGAGCTGGTCAAATTCTGTGCGACCGAACGGTTGCTGGCCTGACTTGGGGTTCTGCTTCGCGTGCATGCCCTCCATCCACATTTCGACTTCGCAAATGTTTGAGACCATGGCAAATCCATGATAGACATCGTTGTAACCGAGGATCATTAGTGCTCGTTGCATAGCTGCATCTCGTTAGAATGATTGATGAACCCAAAGGCCTGAACATGCTTAGAAGTTACTTACACGACGTGCCCGTCTTGGACATCCCCAAAGCCAAGACTTCAAGAGGTACGACACGCTTGCATTGCCGCCTGTCAATGTTCAAGTCTGGCTTGAAGAGTTCTGGGTGCTTCTCTTTGTCACTCTGCATCCGAGACATTGTGAGCCGGTCTCATGTAGAAGTTCGCAATACGCGAAAGAGAGTATGGTAGGTGAGATAGAAACTAACTAGACACGGATGCTGGAGAGACTTTGTAGATAAGGAAGAAGGAGCTTTCGTGTTTTCGGGAGCAAGCAAATGTACCTCATAGGATCGACAATCCTACATGTACTTTGTCAAGACGAAACCGGCGTTGGTTGTGAACTGAGAACCCCGGTTCCAACAAGTCCTTCAACCCCAGCTCATCACATTGGATCGTATCATATCCACATATGACAAGCATCTTGTGGCTTCGGAGGGAAGCCATCGTCTCCGCGGCTGGGGTTCGAATCTCTAGTGCCTTGGCCCTACGTATCGGCATGCGGGCCGCCTCCGATGAGCCAAGATCTCATTTTGCGGCCGAACTTTGGTGCACGAATAAGAGATCACATGTGATTCATAGACCAGCGTCACCGTTGGCAATACCAGAACAGCTAGATTTTTAGAAATCCAAGCACTTCGCCCTGATGTTCAATGTAGGATTCGTTCAAGCGAGATAACGAAACACCAAGTGGGCTCGAGACCCTGGTGCTACCCGCATTTTGCGTACCGGATGCTACCAGTGTACTTCACGCCGAGGATGTTCGTCTTTCAGGAAGTGATCTTACAGACGTTGGTCCATAGATTAAGTACACATAGACATAAGCCTACGTTCGGATGTCAAGATTACCTGTTTTTGTATATCGACTTCAGACTGCGAAGTCGGGTTCACCACTCATCAATAACTTGGAATTGCACACATATTTTACATGCTTAGCGGCCCGCACGGAGAAAACCTCCCCAAACACAAAACTCCTGAGTGGCCCAAGGACTCGGTTGTTGGGGGAAATCGAAAGATATTCTTGGCCGAAATCCTTTGCCAGCGAAAATCTTTGTTTACTGGAGACTTCCCCTGGCATGGCAAACATGCATATGCAGTGGGTTACATCCTTGCACGTGAGCCAACGAAGTGATCCATGACATCTTTGATGAATATGAGAGCCTCTTTTAGGAAGCATTTCCGAGGAAAGTTCTTGTTGGAAAAAGGATGCCCATTGCCTAGTGTGATAACCACGAAGACATGGCCCAACGTCTGATTAATCTCAGATGTTAGAACCAACAACTCTTTGGGATTGTTCCGCACACGACATCCTTCAAAAGTTTCAGAAACCCAATATATCAATGCAGCTTGCACGAGCTGGTCTTTTGCGTTCATCATCTCCCGAACAACGTTCCTGAGCGCGTCAGCATTTCGAAATTTCCGCCATGGCGACTGCCGCAGATGTCATCTACATGGCCGAACCACCCGTCGGCGAGGCTCGATTTGCAGCTAAGACAGTGGGCATCGGTATGATAGCTGCAGCGGTCTCGACGACTGCCATTTCCTTATTGGCTGTTTTCCTTCGAATATTCACGAGACTACATGTTGCAAAACGGAGCCTAGGCGTTGATGATTGTAAGCCAACTGATTCTCAATACTTCTATGCAGAGATCTGGTGATCTGAGAGACCTACTAATACTTGAAAACAGACTTGATCGTCACTTCGATGGTCATGAGCATTGCCTTCTTTGCTACAGGAATGAAAAGTAAGTTCGCATTCATTCCTGCTACTCTGCTTGCCCTATTTCTCACCGACTTAGTGATCGATCTTGGAGTTGCATCGCATTTCTGGCAGGTGACTTACGCCGATTATAACCCTGGGTTTCTCATTGTAAGTTGACGATTGCCCACTAATCATTACTTTGAGTAAGATACGGACTACTGAGTGGATATGTACGCAAGGCATGCTTCGGAAGGCTGACTCGATTTCACACTAGTACGGCACATGTACCACCGTAACGTATTCTCTCAGTGTCGTGCTGGCGAAACTCTCCCTCTTGTTCCTCTACCTGCGATTGTCTCCCGATCGAAGCTTTCGAATCATCGTCACAAGTCTCATCGGAATTGTCATCGCTTATTCTGTGGCCTATCAACTGCTGAGCATCTTCGGTTGTCGCCCAATCTACGCATCCTGGGACGCAGAAGCACTAAAGACTGCTCACTGCGTCGACAAAGAGACTATTTATATGATCCTCAGTATCGCAAACATCATTATGGACGTCGCCATACTCCTGCTTCCGCTGAAGATTGTCATTCCACTTCAGATGGCTCGAAGACAGAAGGTTTCTGTCATTCTCTTGTTCGCCACTGGAACTTTGTGAGAGCTTTTATCTCCTTTATCTATCTCTATCTTATCCCGTCAAAGTATCACTCCGGTCCTAACTGCTCGTAGTGTCTGTGCATCAGCGATCAAACGGACGATCATCCTTCCACCACTGCTGAAGAGTGCTGATTACAGCTGGGATGTAGCCGAACAATTCAACTGGTCCTTCCTCGAGGCGAACGCCGGCATTGTGTGCGCCTCGGTCCCTGGGTTGAAGCCCTTCTTTGTCCGATATCTGCCAAGCTTCATTTCTTTACGTATCACCGGATCTGCGGACAAGAGCGGAATGAAATCATTGCCATACTCCACTATCATCGAGAACAATAGGAAAAGACGCAACATGCAATCCGAGTCGTACGAATAACAGTCGCATGATGATCTTCCAGACGAGAGTTCGGGAAAAGCAAAATATAACGATGACGAAGGTGAGTTATGGTCTGGAAGAAGGTACAGCAAGGATATTTTCAGTGACCGGGAGACAATTATCGAATCTGAATCGAATCAGCACCGAAGGGTTTGAAGCGGGATAAGTCATGCAACTAATGAAGTTGGCCTCAATGGCGTTGAGTGAGCCTCATTTGGGAATGGAAACGATGGTCGAGCACGCCGTCAACGGCCACTCGAATTCAAGTCACCCACGAGACCACAGTCTCGTATGATCCCCGAACACAACAGTTATCTGGTCAAAAACTTTCCTCGCAACTACTTCACAGCACTTCGTTTTCGCATGCTTGAAATACCAGACAACAACAATGAGGCATAATCAAATGCTCCCACGAGTCAAATGAGACTCCAAAGCGCCAGAAACTTTGGTCTATCCGCACGAGCTGCTACTCCTCGCAGCACTTCCACAACACAGCACCAAGCACCGTTGGAACAAGTATTTGCTCTTCCCATGTACATGAGAAACAGAGCACACCAATATCATTGTCTTAATCCGTCACTTCACGGTCCGTGCGCCCTCTGCATGAAGCAACACGACATATCGAACCCTTGATGCAATGCTCGCTGTGGAACAAGAGGCGAAGCAACAGCCGCCTCTCCCAGCAACTCAGCGACCATCGTGAGATTGTCATCGCCCTGGTGGTCTAGCGGTATGATTCTTCCTTAGGGTTGTCATTAAACACATCCACCTGGAAGAGGCCCCAGGTTCGAATCCTGGCCAGGGCCCTAACCCTTTTGCCTGATCTCCACTGACTCCGTAGTGGAGCTCAGGGTCCTTTTTGAAGTAGGGCCGATGGTTGTCTACCAAGGGTACGGAAGGTTTGTGCTTGCCATGGGAAACTACGTGTGGAACACCTATCAATTTCTTGGCGTTGGCTGGGAAAATCCGACTCATCGGGTGCTCCGTTCTGTTTACTTTATCCATGCTGAAGTAGACAATGCCGAGTGGGTGGAGCGAGACAAAGTAACTAAGAGCATAGGAACCAAGAGGCTGAGTGTGTGCCAAGAGCATACGCTACCTACATGAAAGACAAAGGCTCGAATATGCTTAATTGGACGCGTGGGATGTCACCTTAGATGGTTCCTGACACGACTGATTGTATGCGTGCCGCGTGTGCAATTTTCATCCGAGCTGGGATGGTCATTAGTCAGTGTCTCACTATTTACAGGAGAGCCAAATTTGCATCGAATATGGGAAATGGTACCTCAGTCGAAGCCCACTACTTAGGCATCTGCCTGGGAATCTATCGACCATGCAGGAGTGCGCAGAGAGCGCTTATTACTTCATAATTACATTACTACTGTTTGATAGAACCATTGTAGCCCACGGGGTGAAGGATCAGCTGCCAAGAGCTGGCTTAACTGGACTCGACATCGCACTTGAGACGAAGCAAAATACATCCGGACCGGTGGCATCAACATCGTGTAAGCATTAAGCGGTGAGTCATCTAGGCTAAGCTAGTCTACAGAAATCTATCAGGGTATCATCTCTATATTATTAGACCAGTCTGAATATGCAAAACTTGGGGCAACTAAAGCGTTTTCTTCCAATCCCACTTAGTTGCCATGCCTCGCGAACATGCGATTGTAATGCTACCCAGCCCAAGGGTCACTCCTGCCCAGATCCAGGCGCTAATGTAGCCTACAGAGCGCACGAGTGCGCCGCCAACGGGAGAACCTAGCAACAGAGCGACAGACATTACGGCATAAGCCATACCAAGTCTGGTTCCGATGTACTTCTTGTCCTCCGTGAGAAGAGAAAATGTAGCCGGCTGCAGAGAGAAGAATGCTCCGCTGCTGGTTCCATAAAAGATGACCGTCACCAACAACGCAGGAGTGTGGGTGACTGCCGAGAGACAGAATGCCGAGATGGACAAGGCCGCTACTGCGACGATGAGCATGTTCATCCGACCGAGTTGAGCTGTGAATAAGATTGGCACGGTGCGGCCGACAATGGATGCGCCGTTAAGGATCGCAAGCAGATACTTGTCGATCTCTGTGCTGACAGCATGCCTTGCCAACGCGTATCCCGGAATGTAGACGAACGGAGTGTACATGCCAAGGAACACGAGGCAGCAGGCGCCCACGAAAAGTAGATACGGGGCGTCTTTGAAGGCAGTGCGGTCAATCAAGGGTCTTCTGAAGGCTGAAGGTTTGGGCGGTTCCATGGTCACGATGGAAATGCTAAGGGTTGTGAGCGCGATCAGCGCCATGGTGCGCACAGTCCAGCGGAAGCCAATTTCTGGCTGGATCGATCTGAAAAGAATCGGCAATACAAGGCTATGAGAACACGATGTTAGTACGGATGGCCAGCCTTAGCCGGCGGGATACTTTCTGAGCCGGAGGTTTTTGATAAGGGAAGACTTACCCGCCAACACCGCTTCCAGCCGCTGCAATGCCGGTTGCCATGGGTAGCTTAGTGGTGAACCATGGCGATAAGATAGCAACTCCCAGCACAGCTAAACTTCCCTGTCCAACGCCGACACAGAGACCTTGTGTTAACAAGAGTTGCCAAAGATTGTGGCTAAGACTCTGGAGGATGGACCCGGTGACGATCAACGTAGTTCCCGCCCAGAGAAGTTGCTTGGCGTATCCCAAATCAAAGATGGGGCCGGCAAAGAGGCCCAGGAACACCATCAAGAAACTTTGCAACGAGCCAATCGTGGAAATAGCGAAAGAGCTGTGTTCCTTCAGGAGGTGACCCTCATAGTACACCTGAAAGGTACCGAAACTGGCAACAAGCCCTGGATTACTGTTAGTTCTAAACGCGCTCATTGCTTGGCTTAATCCCCAAATTGATGCAGGCTATGCGGGAGCCGCGGGATTTCATTTGCCCAAAAAAGGCAGTGCACAGGACTTGAAATTATTGTATGGGCGGATGGTCCGACTTATGACTTACCCCACGTGTTGAAATAAATGAAAAACGAGCCAAGAACCTGCATCCAGGCTTTCAAGCCTCCATTCGGGGGCCCCGTCGGCTTAGTGGGCGACGGTGGCGGCGACTTGAACTCATCAATACCATCGCTACCGCTCTCTTCGTCGAGCTTCTGCATTGGGTCTTCGCCCGGCCCGTAGGGCTTTTCTTTATCGGATGTGTACTCCATGGTTAGTGGGCGACGGTGGCGGCGACGAACTCATCAATACCATCGCTACCGCTCTCTTCGTCGAGCTTCTGCATTGGGTCTTCGCCCGGCCCGTAGGGCTTTTCTTTATCGGATGTGTACTCCATGGTTCTCTCAATACGAATAGGTTGGGTAGTATCGACCGCGGTTATTGCTAGCGCTGCAGGCGGCGGTGATGCAACTACCGGGATGGTATGTCGTGCGGTCCTCTCCTCGATTGGTGGACTTGACTGCGGCTGTGGCGTTGGTCGTACTGATTCGTTGTCAAGGCCGGCTTGATTAACAGAGCGAGAGATCATCCAGCGACGACGACGAAATGAATGAATTAACGATAGGTAAAGAGCTTGCTCAGCAAGCCTTTCTGACATCTATCCAGTTCTCCCACCTGAGCAAAAGAACGAGCAACAATGGAAAATTAGCCTTCCGTTTTGTTTAAGTACAATAGACGGAGCCCTCCACGGACCCCCCAAAAAGCCGCCTGGGCCTCGCCGCAGCTCGGGTTGCGCCGCCCGCGGTCGCAGGCCACGTTACAGAGACCAGATGGACCTCCAAGTATGTCGTTGTTGCGATGACTTGGGGGAAAGTATAGCGGTAACCTTACCGTTTCCAGGTGGGATGTAAATAACCTGAGGCGAGAGGCCGCGAGTAAAATAAGGTGTAAGTCAGGCACAGTGGCCCTGGCTGTTATTGTTCGGGAAACTTCCAACGTCTCGGAGACCAGACAAGTCTTGACGCGGTCTGAAGAGTCAGAAAGCTTGAGGATTATGGTGGTTCGAGGCCCAATGAGGAAGTCGGATCGGCCAGAGCGGATAGGGATCAACGTTGCAGGCTGCGGGAGACGGAAAACAAAAAGTGTCAGAGTAGTCTATTACTGAACATTGCACTCGTAGAATAGTAAACTCGCAAGCTACACATCATTTTTGGCATTTATGAGGCGGACTCCCCTAGTCAAATGTGTCCGCAACGAGGGGGGGCTTCATCATGTCACATTGCGAGAATCCTCCAACGTCTCGGACCTCTTCTGGAATCTGCGAATGCCAACGGCTTTGAGGCATTTGAACCTCGTCGAAACCTCGGAGTAGTGGAGTTGACGATTGATAATTCTTGTGCGATTGTGGTTAGGTTACAGTGGGCGGTGAATGAGAAAATGCTTCTTTGAGTCTTTCTGAGCTGTTCGGCCATGGTCCGTCGTTTGGTAGCGGGTCTTATCAGCTTTTTGGCGTCGTCGTCTGCTATCTGAACGCCGAACTACAGACAAAATCAGTTCGGGGCTCCTCTTCATAGATAAAAAAGATGCCGAGGCCCTCCTTATGTACGTCTTGGCGCGGTGATCGAAAATCGGGGACTGAATTTTCAACAACGCTGACTTAGCAGTTTATTAGCTAAGAGCCCTGAGAAACAAACCGCGAAATCCCGCTAGTTGCCGCCCTAGTTGCCGGCGCGCGCACCGGTGGGATGAAGAAAACATGAAAATGTCTGCCTTTTGCATGACAGCCGGAAAAACCGTCGGCGTGGGGGGAGTCTCAGGATGATGACGTGTTTATTCAGGGAAACTACGGAGTATCCCACATTCCTGGTCTGTAACCTGATGTTGGTTCAACTTGGTTCAAGCTTGTCTTCGGTTCGGTTCCGCGCTTTCTGAAGCGCCAGTTCCGAGCCGACGGAACGTGGCGGTCGTCGGGACTCGGAATGGGGTCCCGCAGTGATTGTCTGGAGATCAATGTGGCAGGTCGCAGTAAGGCCGCAGCAACTCCAAATAAAGTTGCAGATTGTGTGCTGAAGAAGCACAACCTAATCATACTGGGGGCCCTTTCGCACTATCAGCTATCAAGAGCCGATAAGTCTTCCTCGGTCTTTTCGGCTCTTCGGTTTCGGTTACGAGTCCCCTGAATAAGCAAGCGATTGAATCGACGCGCAGCGTCACGTTGGGGGCGAACGATAAATGACAACGTATCCGTAATTCGCAAAGAGGAAAGCGACGATGTGTGGGCACGATGTGATATATTATCTGCATACGGCAGCTCCATGTGCATCGTAACGGAAGCCAACAAGGGAGTTTAGATCACCACGCCCATCCCAATTGGCTGATGATGATCAATCACATTGCGAGAGGTGTGTAAATACTAAACATAGGTTTTTGTCTATCCGTAAATTGAGCTATCAGGGGTCTCTCTAAAAAGAATTTCGTTTGCCCTTTTTGGGCGTTCGCTCCAGTAAATCCGGTAATGGTACATCATCTTGTCTAAAAACAAAAACATCATCGTCGCCAAAAAACTTGCTTGTCACACCCGTCACTGAGTCAGGTACGACAGGTAATCCTTCCACCCTTCTCCTCCGAGACCGACGTAGCCAATGTACATGTCGGGTCTGACGACAACGGTGAAGTCGTCATCGTCCTTCGCCCACTCGGCTGAGAAGGACGTTTCTGGCGATGAAGAATCTTCATTCACAGCGGTCGTACGAGGAGTCTCCGCATTGTGGGGAGCGACGGTGAAGAGTCTGGCCAAATCCTGGAGACCATCTCCCAAGGCGGGACCATTCGACTGTCGTCCAATCTTCAGCACCAAGTGCTTGCCATACTTGCCAGCGACAAGATCATACAAGCGCTTCGGCTCTTCTCCGGATGCTGGCGTCAGGAAGACATCCGGGCAGCGCCGCCCGGCGGTCCAGATGCCCTGGCTGGGGGCCTCTTGGATCAGGGGGGAGCCAGTGCCATCGTAAGACACGCCCATGCCTAAGGTAGTTGGTGAAAAACATTAGCCGAAGATTCTTGCCGCTACGCAGCATGGTTGAAGACCGCTAGGTTTCGGGAGCGTGGAGAAACGTGGAGTAGAGGGATTGTCGCATGGTAGGGTGGTCTAGGATTCTGGAAGGACTTCCCGAATCTGCAGTGGTCTCCATGTCCCATCCATGAAGGGGGCCAGACACTCAAACAGAGTTTAGGAGAACAGGAGCGCAGCCCTAAGAGGACTCCGGCTCGGGGACTTAGGAGGGGGGGAAGCTAGGAAAATACAGCGCAATAAACATGCAAGACAAGCTTACCTGTGATGTACCCAGCGTTTTTCTCGATTGTGGAGACGTACTCCTTTGCCGTTCGAACTGTGTCTCTGACAAGCTTCGCTGCAACGTCGATGACGCCCTGGGCAACGGTGCGCCGCTCAATGTCGTAGCTCCTGATCAGCTTATCAGCCGCGTCAGGGCTGAGCTTGTCGTTTGTGATGGCTTGTGCCAGCCTCCATGATAGCGCAAACGAGTCGGCAATACCGGTGTTGAGGCCTTGGCCACCGTTCACCGAGTGAACGTGCGCTGCGTCACCTGCCAGGATAATGCGGCCGCCTCCGTTCTGAGAGACGAATGTCGATGCAATACGCTCCTTGACTGCATGCAGTGTCAGCTATCTTCATGTAACAGCATTTGAATGGCATGCTGCAAGAGCGGGCTATGCCGCCGGCTCGCTGTGCCAGGGTGTCGCTTACCATCAAACGTGCTGAACCATTCCGTCTTCTTGAAGTCCACTCGGTGAGGAGCCATGTGCTCGCGGATGGAGTTCTCGGCCTTCTCCTGCGTGATCTCGCCATCAAGCAGGATATAGAATCTGGCCATGCCACGCTCTCGGGGGATCCACGAGACTCGGCTCTGGCCGTTTAGCTGAAACGTAATGATCTCGGAGCACACGGGGAACGACGTGTCAATGAAAGTGTCCAAAACGGCCCAGATCATCTCGGGCTTGGTGCCGGTGAAGGTGATTCCCAGCGTGTTGCGGACTGTGGAGCGAGCGCCATCGGCTCCCACCGCATACTTGCTGCGGATCACTCGCCCCTTGTTTGTTGTCGTCACCACGCCGTTCTTGTCCTCTGAGATAGAAGTGACGACTTCGCCAAAGCAGACGGGCGTCTTGAGTCTCTCTGCGAGGACCTTCTCGACGGCGGGCTGGCCAATCATCAGGAAGTTCTTGCGGAAGCAGTGCTCAAGACCAGTCCACCATTGACTCTGGCGCGACTTGAATTCACCATCCGCAAAGGTTGAGCTCGCTGCGAATTCTGTCAGCTTTTGCGTTCTCATCGAATCAGGAAGGTGGTTCAGAGCCTACTATTGCAGGTGATGCCTTGGGGGATAAGGTCGTCAAGGATGCCAACGACTTCAAGAGCTTGTTGGGTACGAGCGTTGAGCGCATCGGCTCTGCCCAACTCAAGAGGCGCATTCTTGCTATCTATTTTGCGTGTCAATAATGGAGCTTGACTTGAAGAGCTTATCCTCGCTAACTTACCAATAATGCATACCTTCACACCAAGCTGCTCTGCGAGGTAGCCGGTGAGAAGACCAGTTGGCCCGCCTGCACCCTTGAGTCAGATTCCATTGTTTACTCATCTGTATAAGTCGGCAGGAATACTCACCGCCAATAATGGCCAGGTCGACCTCGGTCTCAAGAGTCTCACGAGGAATAGAGCCCATGATTACTGACTGAATGTGACTTGCGCGTGGTGTTGTGAGAGGTTGTGAGGATGATTGACAAAGGTTGAAGTTGATGCAGTGATGTTGGTCGCAAGGGTTCAGCTCCCGTGTAAGTCGTCAATGTCCAAGATAAGTATAGTTATTGGTAGGATTGCCCGAGTACGATGGGGTCGGAAGAAAAAAATCTGAAATGCAGGTCGAACGACTACCGATTACTAAATCGATCCGATCAGGGGCATAGGTATTGTCTTACGCGGAACCAGCAGGTATTGTTCGATGGGTGGCTTACTTGATATCTGACATCAATGGACCAAGGCCAAGTCCGGGACTACTAACGGTCGACGGCCGAAGGGTGCGCCGTGCCTTGAGCCGAGCCCCCTCCGGTGTGACCGATGCTCGAAGCAATACCGCGGATAATCGTCTGATATCGGAGCGCGCCGGGGTTCTTCCTGACCTGGAATCGAATGCTACGCATCGACCACACACGACTGTGGATGCACTCCGCAAAGAGCAATCGACCTTACAAACCTGAATGTTGTTCCGACGATCTTAATGTGACATGCCACGACATGCCAATGTAGCAATGCAGCTGCAATCCCGGCTATCTGGCTAGACCTGCCCAAGTGAGGAATCTGCGCCGTGGTACTCCCAATCTTTCGCCATGCCATCCCAGACATCGTGTCACGGTCCAGAAAGCCGATCGGGAAAGGCGCGTTTTTGCTCTCCTCGGGGCTCCCCTGTCCCCACAGCCGCGGGAGGATCCTGCCGGCGCGGAATCTGGCCCCCTACTAGTCGGGGTCGACGACTATGTTCAACGGTTCAGCCACCCATCTGCCGCGGCTTAACCTGGGATGAACCAGACTGTCAATAGCCTAGCCTGACGTTGGTGGCTCGATTCTTTGTCTGTTTTCGCACAAGTGGTCCCCTCCCCACACTGGTACGCCTCCCAGAGGATCCAAACCAGGATCTTTTCACCTTCCCTTGACGACTCCCGCGCGGCTGCAACTTAGATCTTGCACTGGCCAGTGGCCACACACTTGATTTCTCCTTAGAGTCTTCAGCCGGCTATGTCAGGCAGGTGCCCACCGTGACGTGGGTCGTTTAGCTGTCAGCCCTTCAAACTTGGTCCATGTCCGATGGAGCGCATGAGTTTCCTGATCCTGATGGGGCCGTTCCTGGGTAGTGGGGTGGCGGCGCTGACTCAATCGACGATGGAAGCCGGATGAAGATTGGGAAAAACAATCAAGAGTATAGAGTACGAAAAAAAGAAAAGAAGGTCATGCATGGTATGACATCCGTTGACAGGGCTAGGATGCCGGGTGCATATTGGTTCCGTGGGCAAATCCTTACCATCTTACCATCCTTCTAGACGTTTTGCTATTGACCCCTAGTGGCGACATTGAGTATCGAACAACCACGGGAATTGTGGATGAAGAGGACCGGAATAAGACCGTTATGGGCCTTGATATGGGGGATGGCCAGATGTGACCTGACGCAGCTCCGAGCCCATCACGGCCAGTGCCGCGACTTGGCCCGCTGCTCCTTGCCATGACCCTTTCCCTGTGATCGTCATCTCCGAGCAAGTCTGTATGCAGATGCAACGTTGGCAGGCTATGCTACGAAAGGAAGCTGGATATAAGCCGGTTGCGTCTCCCGAGACTTTGGAAGGTTTTTCTCTACTAGACCAGGCTCAAATTGCATTAAGACCCAGCTGCATCTGCCAGCCTTAAACTTACTTTGATCGTCGTTTATCTTGTTAATCAAGCCTCCCTTACCCTTACCTCTTCATACCTTTTCAGTCCTCTTCGCCTCTATTTCAGCCACATTCAACGACATGCCTTCTCTTGTAGAAACACCGGTTCGCCAACCGTCACCAGAGGTTCAGCTCATCTCAAAGGTGGCACCTCAGATGATGGACGACGAAGCCCTCTCAAAAGCCGCCGACATTCTCGACATCATCTGCCGCTACCGCCTTAGACGCCCGCACGAAACATGCCCTGCTCAGCTCGAGGGCAGACTGGGCTTCCTCTCCCAGATCTACAGAAAAGTCAAGACACAGAGCCCGATTCGCATGTGCCTTCCTGCTTTCCCCTTCAAGTCGCCCAACACAAAGGACAAGGTCCTCAGCCGTCTGCCGGATAAGGCTGAGGAGTTCTCTCTCGCCAACCTCAACGGTCTCTGCTCCGCGATCAAGGACATCTACGAGCCCGGCGCGAAGTTGACCATCATTTCTGACGGTCTTGTGTACAACGACCTGCTCGGTGTTCCCGACAAGGAGGTCTGGTCATACGGAGAGACCCTCCGCGACATTGCTGCCGAGAAGAACCTGCTCAACATCGACTTTTCGCGCCTTCAGGACCTCGTTCACCTTCCCAACCTCCCTAACAAGCTTGAGGAGATCACATATGTTGCGAACGCTACCAATTTCCGCCGCGCGCTTCTCAACACCTTTGGCCGATCTGACTACGACCCCTCCACCGAAATCTCCAAGAACGAAGATACCTGCCTGACATATCGCGGATACATCAAGTTCCTCGAGACCGATTTGCGCCATGTCTACCCCGTCGGAGAGGACCGATCCAAGACCAAGTTCAAGACTGGCATCGAGTACATCTCCAAGCAGATGCTGCAGCGTGGTGATGTAAGTTGCAACACGATATCAATAGCTTTTTACAATTATTAACCTTCCAAATACAGGCCTTTGCTCGCGCCGTCCGTGAGAACTTCCGCGACCACATCCGCCTCTCTATTCACCCCTCCACCGGCGAGAACAAGATCTCCATCAGCCCTCTTCCCACCTCTTCCTACTACACCACTCCCTGGCACTGCTCGATCGCCTTCGACCTGAGCGGCGCCATCACCACTGGCCCCCGCGCCGACTTCGAGAACGACCCTAAGTACGAGCTCGTCTACGAGGAGGGAAGACCCAGCTACTTCCGCGAGAAGAGCGAATTGATGCAGTGGAAGTCGGACGTCGTCTTTGAGCCCATGTACCCCTGCGGTCTTCTCATCCGCCCGGCCCCCGGCTCCAAGAAGCTCTCCATCCACGACGTTGAGGCCCAAAAGGTCCGCGCTTTGTCTGAAGTCAACTCTCCCGTTGTCATGAGAGGATTCACCAAGACCAAGGATCGCGACCTGTTCGTCAAGAAGTCGGAGGAGTTCGGCACTCCCTTGCCGTGGAAGTTCGGCCTCGTCCTGGAGGTGAAGGACCAGGGTGCCGATACCCGTGGTCTGAACAACGTTCTCTCAGCCGAGTGGATGCCATTCCACTTCGATGGGCTGTTCAAGACCCACAAAGTGCCCCAGGCGGACGGAACTGAGAAGCTTCTTCCCAACCCTCCCAAGTAAGTTACATCCCCGCTGTGGCGAACTTGTCAAGCGAAAACCTTCATGAGCTTCTTTCTCTAACACACCGAAAACAGGTTCCAGTTTTTCACTTCCATCACCCCCTCACCGAGTGACACCGGCTTCACCCTCTTCACGCCCTCCAGACTTCTCTTCCAGAACCTGCCTCCTCACCTGTCTGTGGACAGACTGAGAGAGCTCACCTGGAGCGTCCAGACCAGTTCCTTTGACTCCACCAAGATGGGCGGCCTTCCTCTCGTCGTCGACCACCCCACGACCGGAGAGCCCTGCATCCGATACCACGAGCCCTGGCCCCAGTCCAAGACTGCCTTTGACGCCACTGATGTGGTCATCGAGGGCGTGAGCGAGAGCGAGAGCACCGAGATCTGCAACACTATTGACTCCCTCCTCCACGACAGAAGAAACACCCTCTACTTCTCCTGGCAGCAGGGTGACCTGCTGGTCAGCGATAACATCCTGGCCATGCACACCCGCAGTGACTTCACGGCTGGCTCTCCCAGAGAGATGTGGCGCATTCACTTTGATTAAGGAACGAATTATTTGATCTTGGGACTGTTTTGATATGCAAGGAAAAGTTTGGAAAATTGGCATTAGTGGTGTTAGTTTAGGATTCCCTCTCTGTTCTGATTAAGCTCGGCATAGATACATTTTAGTCTGAAGCGATTGAATCGAATTTTATCTGATAAACTATAAGGAGAGTGTCAAGTACTGAGCGCAGATTGAAATCCAGAGGTAAATTCGATTGCCGTAAAATACTACGTGACGTGGTCTTAGTTTGATGTTACCACGGTACTGACGTGAATAACAAGGATAGATGATTGGTGATTATTAGAGGGAAAACATCAATCAGACTTCAAGGGCCACCATCGATAACGTCACTTGACCCTGAGGCATACTTAGTATCTGAACCAAGACATCCTTGAAGTTTGACGATCTCAAAATCAAGCGCCGGGACTGGATCCTCTCGAAAAAGCTATGAGATGTGCGATGCTCCTCTGGGACTACGTATTCGAAGTTACGATGGCTATGCATCTGAGGCGCTAATACGACGGGAAGAACTTGTCATTAGGTTGCATCATAATACCGGCCAAGAAACCAAATGTCACGTCTATCATGTTATTGCTAGTAAATTGATCACACCACTCAGCTGGCTATGCCGTACTTACAAAGACGGAAGATCCCAGCCGTCCTCCTAGGCACTTCCGGCATGTGGGCAGGTGCCAACCGTTTACTCTGGAAAACATTCGGAAATTTTAGGAAGACGCGTCCTCATATGGTGAAACATGCCGGTTCATGGGTGAGATGCATCATTGCGGATAGCTGTGGTCACCATAACCCACCTACATATGTTTGCTACTATTCGCTTGTGGATCCATTGTTGGCCAGGCTGTGCAGTACACCGTACTACCGTAAACCTATAAAGTCTAGACTCTAGAGACTTTCTCAAGCCCACTTTTCGTGCGGTCGAATAAAAAGCAGGTCAAGTCTAGCAGTGCGTAAGCATGTGTAAGGTTCGTTGATTCAGCCGCCAAACGAGATATTGCCGGGAACGGGCCGTAAACCGCTGTCCGAAGCCAAGACACTAGGTTGCCGAAACCCCGGCCGCGGCAAAGGTTTTTCTTCAACTCCGGAGCCACAAGATGCTTGCAGGTTGTGAATATGATAAGGTACAATGCTGCATGCAATGTGACGAGCCAGGGTTCAAAGAACATGTTGGGGCCGGGGCCCTGCTACGCAAACATGCAAACCCGCTGCACAACCAACATCTGCTGCGAACCCTTGAGCAAACCTTGGCCAAGGAACACGTACCTCTTCGGGCTAGTAACTATGCGGATACCGAGGACGAGTACGGATACAGGTAACGGACATGTTTTATTCCTATCTATCCGCCCCAACAACGAAATGGAGCGGAAATATTCCCAACGCTACATTCGAAGCCAGCTAAACGTGTCTTCGTGGCACAGTCTTGATCAACAGAGGCTCAGTGACCACGGCTGAAACCCATTCCTTTCTCTTGGGAAGTTGCACAGGCTGCCAGTCTGCATTGTTCAGTCCTGCAGCTTGCGCGTGTCTATGTTGTTCATTGGCAGGGCTGATTTCAAAGTTTGCGACCATCTTTGCAACACTCATGTACAATTCTAGGTATGAGAAGCTGAGGTTTCTTGTCAGTGACTGTATGTCCATCTGGGGCCACGGCACTTACTGATTTGCGATACAAGTGTTTGCGCCTTTAGAGAATGCAACGTAAAACTTGTCTCGTAGTACATCCTCCGTAGTGTTCAAGCCGGAATCATCTATCCAGCGGTAGGGATTGAACAACTCTGGATTCGGATATGCATACTTGTCTCTGAGATACCAGACTGGCGATGAAGTTACGATAGTCTGTGGTGCACACCGTTAGATATGGTACTGAATCAATGAACATGCCACTGTGGTGACTTACGCCTTCGGGAACAAAATTTCCACATAGCTCAACACCACCTTTGGGAACCACACGGGGCAACATCGCTACGGACGCGCCGGCCCAACGAATGCCTTCTTTTACACAACCTCTCAAGCGAGGGATGTTTTCTAAAGTATTGAAATCCGTGGGAAACCCGCGGGATGCTAGGTCTTGATACACCTTCTGCTGATAAGTCGAGTTCCAGGAAAGGGCATAGAGTATATGGGCGAGGGATGCAGAGGTGGTGTCGGTCCCAGGTCCCAGGTTCTCTTTGGCCTCTGATAGGGCCGTCTGAGTCGGCAAGCCAGCTGAAACCATGACGTTTAGTAGATTGGGAAATTGTGACTTTCGGTCTGGATCTTTGTTTTGGACCCAAGCTTTGTACGTCCACTTCTCGAATTAGTACGCTAACAAGTTTCGTAGTTTTTGAACGAACCTCGTCATATTGCTGTAGTCCCCTTTTAGAGGATGTACGCGAGCCTTCCATATGACAAAATAAGTCTTCTACTCTCACCCAGATTGAGTACAGAAGCGGGAAGTTCATTATCTACATGGTCAGCTTTGTCTAGACTTCACAAGTATCCAGACCCTTGACACGTACCAGAGGCAAAAATGTCGCCTTTTCATCGTTCTTTGATACAAGAGCAACTTCTTCACCTTTTGACCAGGCAGAGACGGCCGACAAGGCTTCGCCGAATGAAAAATCCGCTTGGAAAGTTAGCTGACGAACGTAAACCCGGGTCATGCCGTGGCGTCTCACATATGATATCTGCCTCAAGAGCGCGGCAGGCAAGGCCTATATCAAAAGAGGTGCTTCTCTTTCCGACTGCCGAGACGAATTCATCAATATGATGAAGCATTAATCCTTCAAGCTTCTCGATATTACTGCGGCTGAAGAGTTGACCAAGGATTCTCCGCCTCTTGGCATGCTCTTGAGGATCTCTGTGACACATTAGCAAAGAAAGCCTACGTTTACTTCTGAAGGGTTATAGCGAACGTGATAGAGAAGAGTGCGGGGTGTTCATCTTGGACAAATTCGCCATAGTTTCGTGGATCCTTTACAAATCCGCTGTTGACTTTATGGACCGTATCGTAGATGTCGATGGAGTAGAACGATAGCTCATTGGGACCAATTCGAATAAGAGGGCCTAGGAGGACAATAAGATTAGTTGCCACCCATGTCAATGGTTTGAGGGGGACAACAGAGCTACCTAGGGTCTCATGCAATTTTGGGAGTTCAAGGGTGACGTTGCCTCGGTATTCTTGACGAAAAGCCCAGATCAACCTCGAATAGCCTGCTCCCCAACCAGCATTAGGGATACGAGAAAGGGGCGATGCGTGAGCTTTGGTGACGGTCTGAAGAGTGTCAATCGTCCGATCAAGTTGAATATTTCAGCTCTTCGAGATCATAAATACCTTGAACACTGTCACCACCACAATGCATAGAGCGACCAGTGAGGTCAGGAGGAGGATCGTCATCTTGGCACAGGAACTTCCGATTCCTGAGAAAGTTTAAGAGTAAAAGTCACAGGATGTCAGCGCTAATGAAGTTCACCCGATTTTCTCAAGTTCATGTTTGCGTTGAACACTACACTTAGAGCATCTAGAACGTCGAAGAACTACTCAAGACTACTGGTATCCTATGATCAAGTGAATCACGTTCTTTGAGTGCCGATTGCGTGATGGACCTGATGCCCCGAAACCTATCAAACCATCCCGCAACTGGCAGTCAACCCGGGGTTGCTTACGTTGACCTGATTGGCAGGGGGCACGCGGAGCACGGCGACATCCCAATCCAATCTCAACATCCGAAGAAAAAGAGAGGAATATGGCGGTAAGTGAAGAAAGAGATGCGGCCATTGCCATAGGTAGAGTAATTCAATGTGTGTGTGGATGCTTGTGATCGTTTCTCAACGTTTGTCAAAGCTGGATTAATGTTACTTACTCAGCGACCCGTTATGTGCTGCTTTAGTGTTGTAGACTGTGTTATGGAGTAATTGAGTAGAGGACTTGGAGTCGCAGATCCCGTAGTAATATCATTCAAACACTCACGTTATACTACTTTTGATAGCGAAAGATCTGTTCATCGACCTGTCAAAAGACTCATCTCGTTTGGTTTCATCAAGTTGCTGCTAAAGCTATTTCGTACGACCTACCGATGCCGTCATTCAGTCCCACATCACGCGACTAAGTAAGTCAGCCATTGGCACATGCGGCAATGATTGGAAGATTCGTATTTCTTCACACGCAAAAGCCGAACATTTCCGTCCCACTAATTAGATTTTTCAACGGCCCCTGGGCGGCCCGAATACTCCATCGCCCATAAGACGACGTCCTCTCCATCCGCATTTGTGCGCTGCGACGTCGCTAATTCGCTCAGCTTGGACCAACATCGAGAACATCATCAACATGGCTGCGACTGAGCGCCAAGACGAAGGCGTCGCCAAGAACGCGAATACGTTCCAGAGCGACGTAGAAGATGAGTCTACAAAGGATGCCCGGGTCTTGGTGAGCAATCTACAGCATGAAAGCATTGCATTTCAGTCAGCTAACCGCAGAATCCGCAGGAAAACCTAGGCTACAAGCCGGTGAGCAGACGATCTCAAAAGTCAGCCCATCTCACACAAATAACTCATTCCTCTAGGTGCTGCACCGGACATTCAATACGTTTCACAACTTTGCGACAACGTTCGGTATGTCGTACCCATTCTGCTGGTTCTCTTCGTCATTTCTGACCTTGTTTAGCTGCCCTCTACTTCATTGGTGGCGTCCGAGTGACATTCTCTACCGGCATTGCTGCTGGAGGTAACCTGGCTTACTGGTAAGTGCTGGCGTTTGTACTCACCGATGTGCAATTGCAACGCCTAACATTCAGACAGGACGAGTTTCATCGTGACTTGCGTCTTCACCTTCATCACCGCTGCAGTCATTGCAGAGATCTGCTCCTCTCTACCCTTGGCGGGATCCATCTATCTATGGGCTGCTGAAGCTGGCGGACCCCGATTTGGCAGATTCTTTGGCTTCATCGTTGCGTGGTGGAGTACCACAGCATGGACAACTTTCTGTGCGAGTAAGTTGATAACAACTTCTGAGGCATCTTCCCAACCTGAGTCACTGACCCCCCTCAGGCAACACACAAGCCGCTGTGAACTACATGCTTTCGGTAAGTGACGGCATAAAGAAGTGACTTCTCTGTGATAGTCTCTAACTTTGTAACAGGAGATTGTTGTCTTCAATCTTGACTTCCCTTCTGACTCCTCGAGCGTCAAATTTCGCGCTGTTCAATGGATCACTACAGAGGTCATGCTGGCCTTGGCTGCCATCTGGAACCTTTTGCCTCGTGAGTCCACCTAGACTCCTATGTGCCATCATTGACAAGCTAACAAATGTACAGCCCGCTACTTCAAATGGATCTTCTACTTGTCGACCGGGTTCGTCTTGCTGGACTTTGTTCTAAACATGGTCTGGCTACCAGTCGCAACAAGCAAGAGCGAGTACGGCTTCCGATCTGCTCATGATGCTTTCATGACCACCTACAACGGGACCGGCGCTCCCGCCGGTTGGAATTGGTGTCTTTCGTATCTCGCTACTGCTGGTATTCTCATCGGATTCGACGCGTCGGGGCACGTTGCGGAGGAGACCAAGAATGCAAGCGTCGCTGCCGCTCGCGGCATCTTCTGGAGTACCGTGGTCAGCGGGATCGGCGGCTTTGTTGTCGTGATTTTGTTTCTGTTCTGCGTCGTAAGTTGATCCTCTTCTCAAATGCAGCGCAGGAACCCTACTGACGGAGTTTGACACAGCCTGATGCGGATACCCTTTTCTCTTTTGGCGGCGCCCAGCCCTTTGTACCATTGTATGCAGCTATCCTCGGAGAGGGAGGCCACATTTTTATGAACATCGTTTGCATTGTCGCGCTGTGGTTTGTAAGTCATCTTTGCCCTGTCTCGTACCTTATTCTCTTGTCTATTGAGTGATGTGCTGATCATCGCTTAGAACACTGCGATTGCAATTCTGGCGGCGTCGCGTCTGGTGTTCGCCGTGGCACGCGACGGAGTTCTCCCTTGGTCTCCTTGGGTCGCCAAAGTTGTCGATGGCCAACCCAGAAACGCCGTCTTGGTCGTCTGGGGCGTGGCCTCTGTCATTACCTGCACGATTCTTCCGTCATCAGTGGCCTTCACTTCCCTCGTCTCGGCTGCGGGTGTTCCTTCAGCCGCGGCTTACGGTCTGATCTGCCTTTGTCGCCTTTTCCTGACACCAAAGCAATTCCCGAAGCCCGCTTGGAGTCTTGGACGCCTGAGCAAGCCTTTCCAGGCAATTGCTGTCTTGTGGAACGGCTGGGTCGTTGCTGTGCTGTTCTCGCCCTATGCTTTTCCGGTTGAGGCATCGACACTCAACTATGCCCCGGTCATCATGGGCATCGTGACAATCTTCGCTATTCTTTCTTGGTGGTTCATCCCTGCTGAAAGATGGCTACCGTCTCAAAGAATCCAGGAGACATTGCTTGCGGGAGAACGTCCGGTTGAAGAGTAGGCAGCCGAGTGCTGTCTGCGAGAAGACCGTAGCAAATACTTGCTCACCGGATAATTGTAATTCAACAGAAACCTCTAATTAGCTAGATACCTAGGCATTGTAATCGAAAATAATATGCACGATGGAGTAGCTGATAACTACATTTTCGCTCTACTCGCTAACGAAGCCTTATCCCTGAACGCCATGCTCAAAGCTGCGCCCTCGTCTCAGCAGACCCTTCCTTCGTCAACTCTTTCTTTCCTCTCTCCAACTCATCAGTCAAGTCGTACTTCCAGATCCACTCCATTCGCTTTGACAGATTGTCGGCAACCCACTCAGAGTCTTCGCTGAACTCCAAGTCGTACAGCTGACCAGTCTCGTGGCTGTCGACGACGAGTTGCTGGGATCTCTCTCTTCGTGTCTTATCATACGTCGAGAATGCTGCCTCAAGTTGACTGGCATCAGAGATGGAGCCCAACAGGTTGCCGAGGATGTACGCATCTTCAATCGCCATGCCTGCACCGGATCCCTTGTGAGGCGTGGATGCGTGAGCGGCGTCTCCCAGTAGGCAGAGTCGCCCCTCGAAGTACGTCGGACTGGGCGGGTGCTCAAATAGTGCCCACACGTCTGGCTTCTGCATAAGCTGAATAATTTGTCTGGACTTTTCGCCCCAGCCTTCGAAGTCGCGGATCATGTCCTCCTTCTCCACTGAGACAACCCACTTGTCTGACTTCCACTCTTTAGCACTGGCGAATGCCACCACTGAAGTCCTTATTAGCCATTGTCGGTGGATGAAGAGTTAGAAAACACTTTGCTTACCGTTCATGATTTTGCCCTTTGCGACAGAAAAGGTCAATATGTGCCCGTTTCTGCCAAAGTACATCTGGGCGTTCTTTGCCAGCTCCTCGCCCAGAAGCTTCTCCGCCTCTTCCATGGGAATAAGACCTCGGTAGGCATACTTTCCAGAGAAGACAGCCTTGGATGCTGGGTGGTCCTCGCCGAGCATCAAACTCCTCAATCTAGACTTGATACCGTCACAGGCGATAACAGCATCGTGGCGAGCGGTCGTGCCATCTTGGAAAGTGAGCAGAACGCTTTTCCCGTCATCCTCGTACTTTTCTGCCCTCTTGCCGAATACGGCAACTCCGTCGGGCAGTAATTTGACCAACTCGTCTAAGAAGTGTGCTCTGTGAATACCAGTCTGGCCGGTCTCACATTTTTGCCGATAGATTAGGTCTCCCTCTTTATTCTTGTCGTTACAAGTCTGGCCGTACCTGAAGTCGAACCATACGTCCTGGTGGTCTTCTGATTCGTTGTGTGTTGCCTGGTTCTCGAAAGCTTGCCGCACGTGGGGTGAGATCAAGGACATAGCCCTTAGCGCATTGGGGCCGAAAGACACGCCTGCACCGATCTCACCGAACTTTGGCGCCTGTTCGTATAGCGTCGTCGGTATTCTGTTCTGGAGGAGTTGAAGGGTCAAGGTCAAGCCCGCAATACCACCACCAACGACAGCCACATTGAAGGGCTTGTTTGGCGTCTGACAAAACTCTTCTGGTGGTGCCATGTCGATTGAGGCAGAAAATTTCTTGCGATAACGAAGGGCAAAGTCTAAATGTGGTATTGTGAGGTGGTGGGCAGTTCAGACTACGTGAAACGACTTCTGGTAGCTTTGCGAAACAGATCTCCGTCTTTAGTCTGTAGAGTTGCACGTAGATCGCAGCGATGAAGAAATACGCAAAGATATATCGCTGGTGCTAGGAAATAAGGGCCGACAAAGCAGACAAGTTACCAAGGCTAACTGCCCCTTACTTCCTAGACCGGCTGCTCGGCTGGGACCTATGACGCTCTCGATGATTCTGGCTGACCCCGTTCCCCCCGGACCCCGGCCGCGACCCACGTTACGCCAGTGCCGAAGTGCCCGAACGACAACGGAAGCACTGCATCGGTGGCCCATCGGATGGGCAAATTCATTCGGCTGAAAGTTCCCAGCAGCTGACAGTCCCTCCCAGGCACGGGTGTAGCCTATCGGATCACGGGTTTTAGACATCGGGAATGGGGCTTCGAACAATAGACCATATGCCGAAGGCCAGCTTCGGGTGGCGGCGCAGACGTGCCACACGTGCATACTTAGGTGGAATGCGGAGTATCATCTCGGCACTGAAGAGGGGAAAACGAGGGGAACGAATTGTAGATCGCATATTTCACTACCCTTCAATAATGTGAATCTCCGAAACTTTAAAGTCGTTGTTGTGCAGTCTAGATCCCCCCATTGGGGGCTGGGGGCTCATAGCCACTGAGCACTAACACCGTCTATCCCAGGCGCCACAGCTGCCAACGCGTTTTAGTGTCCAAGATAGTACCAAATAGCATGGTCATCCTACCTCTACCCCGGACTCCGGTCCGAAGTCATCATGCTGTTGGTCTGGGGTAATTTGCTTCTGGTCCCTGGATCTCATCTCGCAGAGTTGAGATCCTCCCCGTGGGGAAAGAGTTTAAAAATGGTTCATATGGTCCCACTGCTTCTGTCAACCGATCAAGACAGTTTACACCAACATTTTATTCGACGCTAAGGGTACATCAGACTTTCTCGCTATCAATATGACTGCTACCAAGCCTACCTTCATCTTCGTTCCTGGAGCGTGGCACTGCGCGACCAAGTTCGAGCCGGTGACTTCGAAGCTCGAGGCTCTCGGGTATCCCACCAAGTCTGTTCAGCTTCCGTGCTATGGCGCGGAGCCTCCGCTGTCAGACTTCCACCCCGATGTCGCGGCCATTCGACAAGAGATTGAGAAGAGTGTAGATGCTGGCGAAGACGTTGTGCTCTTCATGCATAGCTATGGCGGTATCGTAGGCTGCGAAGCTTGCCGTGGGCTGGGCAAGGCAGCTCGGGAGAAGGAGGGCAAGATTGGTGGCGTTGTAAGACTGGTATTCTGCGCGGCCTTTATGGTTCCAGAAGGTAGGTTCTCGCCAAAAGATATTGACAGGATCATGTGACTAACAAAACACCTCCAGGAGTCTCACTATTCGACATGCTTCAAGGCAACCCGCTCCCTTGGTTCATCGTGTCCGACGACAAGACAAAGGTCGACCCCGCACGCCCAGAAGAGATCTTCTACAACGATATGGACGAAGCCGCCATCAAGGAGGCAATCGCGGGACTCAAGCACCACAGCTACCAAACATTCTACAGCAAGCTCACGTACCCTGCGTACAAGGACATACCAGTAACCTACATTAAATGCGAACTCGACAACGCGATTCCTCATCAAGGCCAACAGCAGATGATCGACACCGCTGGTGTAGATGTAACCGTGGAGACGATGCAAGCGAGTCATTCTCCGTTCTTGAGCAAGCCGGATGAGGTCATTGCTGCCTGTAGGAGATCAGCAGGCGAGACTTTCTGAGGTGCCACGGGTGGGGGTTCTTTAGGTTTCCTTGAAAATACGCCATGCAAGTAATATGCAGGGTCTCGAACTTGGGCTGCAGTGTATCGCAGGAACGGAAGCTCGGCTCTTGGTTGGAGGAGACCTCAATCTAATGAATTCAAATCAAACAAGTTTCATAGTCACGTTGGTTCCAATTCTCGTGAGCGTCATGTGTGTGATTCGCTGGGCTTGACACTGCTTCGGCGATAGGGCTTACTGAATGACATATCATCACATGCAAGTCCCATCTGCTTGTTTGTAGACATCTTTTGTGGTTCATCGCTTGGTATTTTGTTCACTCAGTCGCTAATAAGTCGTACATAGTCTACTTCAAAACACATATCTTCCCTCCAGGGCTACTAACACGGCGGTTCCATCAAAGCCCCTGCATCGGCAAGCATCATCTCATCCGTGTAGCCCAGGTGCGCCATGCTCGCGTCCATCGTCGGGAAGAAAGGCATATCTTGCCCATAAGAGTCGAAGAGCAGCGTCCGTGGTGACATTGGAAGCAGTATATCGGTCGACGGAGTAAGTGCCTGGATCACGTTTGTTCCTCGACCAGTTTCGCTACCCAACATCTGTGGCCCATCGGTGCTCCCGGTCGTCAGTGAGACACTCTGGTCCAGGCTGTTGATCTCTCCCGCTTCTGACGTGCTCAAGTGTCGATGGTTGCCGAAGTACCGAATGTCTCGGTGAACAGCATTCGAGCCGAGCTTGGAAGCTTCATTCGACAGCGGACCGCCTTCGTGGACACTCCCAAAGAGCTCGCCGATGAGCATCCCCTGGCACTCCATCTTCCGGCGTGCCCTCCGTTCTCGGTACAGAACACAGGCGCTCTGGAGATGCTCGACGATGGCGAGCTCTCTGCTTGCAACAGGATCGTGCTTGCTGAACTTTTTCAGTAGCGCTTGCGCGTCGTTCAAGCCGTGGTCTAACGGGAATGTGCTGTCTAGGTCACCAAAGACGGCTAGGCCGAGGACCAGGGCGGAGACAAAGACAGAGTTGATGACGAAGGGGTGTCGTTTGGCTACGTTCTTGTCTGGGATGAGAGTTGACAGGAGGTCGATTGTCCGTATTGCAGAGTCAACGCAGGCATGGACCAGAAGTTGGTCAGACGGTGATGACAAGGGCGTTTCCTCGGCCCACATGGACGTCGTCCGGGTGCGCGCAATGTTCCTCGAGACAAAGTCGATGAGAAAAGGCCGTGATAACAGCATGATGCTCCAGTAATATGCTTCTTTCATGTGGTAAAGCCCTATGTTTGGATACCTCTCGCCATCGTCGGCGTCAACATACTTGCTGGGCTTCATCCCATCAGCCGCGAGACCATCACTGAACTTCGCGGCCCATCGACGGTGCTGTTCGCTGATACGCTCGAGTGTTTCTGTAGACACCATACGCTTGGCGTAAACGTCGTTCAAGATTGATTCGAAGATGGCACAGAGATCTAGTGAGGCAGAGTAGTTCTCACTTGCTGAAGTATCTCGGGTCTCAGAAGTCGCCAACGGGCGACCTAATGAGGCGGCCAAGAATAGGTCCAGAACTCGAAGAGCTTTCCACAGTCGATCCCGGGTGTCTTGCTCTTGTGTTGAGAAAAGCGCCGGGACGTCTCGCCGGTGAATACCTAGCGCGTAGGCGGCACGGGTAGCGACGCCCAGGTGCATGAAAGCCGAGTTGCGACGCGATGCGCCGAGGAGGTAGACGGTGATGAGGATGTAACTGCGCACCGTGTTGTTTGTTGGGTTCTCCATGGCATATGAGACTGCTAAGAATCGACCATAGTTGAAATACTTCTCTGCATCGGCATCGCGGTCATCCGGGCATCGTTGTGCTCCGATACCGAATATCAGAAAGAAGATACAGTTCATGGCCTCTTCATCTTGGCTCGTGGGCTCTCCACGCAGCCAGTGTTCGAGGTCCTTGAGGATTTCAGACTCATTGAAAACATCGAGAATACAGTTTGTTGCACGGAGATACCACCGCAGCAGATATCTTGCCTGCTCAGTGCTAGGCTTGGAGGGGATATCGGCGGGGTTCGTGATGATCCATTTCGGACGACCTTCAGGAGTCGCCTCGA